AATTCCATCAAAAAAGCCTCTAAATTATCTAATATTAGATCATATTATTCAAAAAATAAATAAATACCATAATAATATAAAATTTGAAAGTAAGATTCTAATAAACTTGACTTGTGATCTTAGAATTAGATAGTTTTAGAGTTGAAGTTCAATCACTTGTTGTACTTGATTGTTGAATCCTTAAAATTTTAATTTTTTACCATCAATCTTCTTGAACAAGACAATTCTTTGTTCTCTAATGTTTGAATGGCTTTCTACTATATAAGAAGTAACATGATTTAATATATATGTTGAAGCAGTTCAAATCATCTTTATATTTTTATTTCTTGCCAATCTTGTTACTCTTTGTAGTGGTAAATTAAATTAATATATTGCAAGCATCAAACTTTTCATTTATTCTTATATTTTTGTTGTTGCATTCTTTATTTCAACAAGATCTATGATGATAACACTAAAAGAATGTAAAAAATATCTAATATATTCTAAAAAAAAAAAATCACTTTGAATCAAAAAAAGACACAGTTTTAATATTGTACATATATTCTTGTCAATTTATCAAAGATAAGAACTCATGAAATGTAAATAAAGAAGTGAGACTTTTTTCAAAGAAAAATAAAAAAATAAAAAAATAAAAAAATATGTATGTTGAAGAAAAAAATCTAAAATAGCTATTGCCAAAAGACAAAAAAAAAAAAAAAAAAAAAAAAAAAAAAAAAAAAAAAAAAACTAAAGATTCTTGAAACTAGATTACGAGCAAGAAAGGAATTGACAAGAGTGAAGAAGGCTTCACTCTTACCTCTATATATACTAATTAACTAAGAGCTATACAGCAATATTCAATAGGACCTCCAATATATGTTCAACTTGTAAGACACATGTTTTAACTTGCAAGACAAGTTTTTTATATATACGCCACATGATTCTCCTATATTATAAGCTACTAATACGTTGTCATATGGCATGATTTGCTATCTGGGAATACACAGGGTATCTAGCTGTAGAGAGTATACCTTAAACCTTTATATGATCCTTTTCTTGGCTTCCAAAACTCCTTTATTTTTGTATAAAACTCCAAATATAACAAAATCCCTTCAAAACATATTTTTCCCGTGAAGGGTTTTCTCGCCCCAAACTTTAGAAAATCATAACTATTGATCTAACCGTTCAGTTTGTTTCAAATTTACAAGATAGGTAGAATTTACCCTTAACTTTTACCACAAAAAAAAACCAACTGCAAATTCACTCCTGATCTTCTGGCATCTAAGAAACCCTAGCAGACACTCCAAACCCTAACTAACAAGCACCCTAAAAACTATTTTCCTTATATCTCAAAAATCCGAACTCCAAATATCATAAAACTTATGCACAAAGTTTATTAACATGAAATTACACATACCTTGAAATTTTGAGCCAAAACCTTGTCAAATTGCTCAAGATATAGCTCAAGAGACAAACACTAGTAAATCAGTTTACTTACTACCTTTAGATTGCATGTGCTGACTTCAAAATCCAATAACTCCTTCACTCCAATGTAGAATCCAGTAAACAGTATATAAAAAGTATAGCCAAAAAAGTGCTCTCTTTATTCATGGTCACCGATCCTCAATTGCCATCTGTACGCGTGCATTATGCTCAAAAGACTGATAGTAGGTGCAAAACTAACATCTTAACTTTGAGCGCCTATAACTTCTTCATAAAAACTCCAAATGACACAAAACTTGCACCAAAACCTTAATCAAAAACCTAAACCTTCTGACCCTAGCCTTCAAAGTTCGAATGCCATAAGAAACTAACCCTAATCCTTAATATGGCCTCGGGCAGCCTCCTCAAAGCCCATTGGTCATGATTTTTGACCAATATGAATGGAGATTTTTATTTTTCATCTCTATTCATCTATATTGGTGCCCTAATTACTCCCTTTGCTACCAAAATCCTTCTTCAATCCTTTTTTTATAAGATTTACATAATGTATGCTCTAAACACCAAATAAAAGAACCAAAATAAGTTTTCAAATGTCACCAATGTCTAACAAAGGTGACTCTAAATATTTAGAAGTTACTATCAACCAAAACCAATCTTAAAAGCCACTATCAAAAGAAAATTAAAGTTATACAAATTCTATAGTAATCTTTTTAAACAACCTCTTTTCAAAGTAATAATCAAATTATATTCTACAACCAACTAAAATCTACTAATATGGCTCTTACCATGTTACTTAATAAATTATATATTAAGTACATAATTACATTATTTGCATATAGTAACCAAACCACAACACGACAACGTGCAATATATAGCTAATTTGTTGGCCAAGCATTCAACTTATCAATCACCTATAGACACTTATAAAGGTGAAACTACATCTATGAAGCTTCTAAAAAGCTTTTTTATGAGATATTATCAAATTAATATGATTTTATCTACTTCTACTTATTTATATTATTTAGGTAATTTATTGGAATAAATATATATGTCTATAATACAATAGATTTGCATTAATGACTTTGAATTTTATAGGGCACTTCAATTCTTTACTTAGTAGGATTTGAAATAGATTTGCTATTAAGGACAATATACCATGCATTTTGTCAATTCAGTATATTGGCTAGGTTGATGAAGGCAAGAAAGGATAATGAATGAATTATTTTTCCTAATATTAATTGAATAGACTTGACCAAAAGTCAAGCCAAGACTTCCAATTATCTTTGAATTATATTAATTCATGTACTTGTTTTAGTTTATATGCTTATTTCTTATTTTTGTTCATGTACTTGTTTATTTATTAGTAAAGAATTGGCCATTAGATTGTTAACTAAGAAGATTGGTAGTGAAGATTAAGATAAAGATATGATAGATTGGATGTAGTAGATTCTCACCTTGGAGACACCTTGGTACTAATTTTCAAGTATCAAGATGATTTAAAGGAGTGAAAAGAGAAACAAAAGAGGGATTATTTTTATCTTTTATTTTGGTTAATAAAAAAGGAAAAATTTGGATATCAATTTTTAAATGAGATAAATCACTTGTATGAAAAATTTAGAGATTTAAATTATATTAAAAAAACACTAATAGAGCATTGAAGTAAGTAGAATTTAAAAACTAAACCAAATAAGTGATCCAACTTTGAAGGCTTGATTCTTAATAGGTATTATAGCTATTACAATGAGATTTGGAGTATAGCTTTTAAGATGTTTTATCTTAGTTGCAATAAAAATTTTAGCTATATAGATCTTTTAGATGAAGAAATAATTGCTTTGATGTAATTAGATCTATGAAGGAGAGTTTAAGGATAGAATGTTAATTTGAGTTAAAATTGTACCATAGTTTGAATATTTCTTATCTAGTTATAAAATTTGATATATAAATAATTGATGAGCATACAACCATCTTACAAAGTCTTGTAAGAAGAATATGAAGGAGTTAAAAGTTATGTGAGGGCAAAGTTGACTGCATCATTATTAAGATTAATATGCAGTTTGAGTGAATTTGAACAAGGTTGTAGAATGTTTTAAGAATGGTTGAAGGACTATTGTATTTAAGAAACAAGTTTAAGGCATATAAAAATCTACCACAATAAGGAGTCTTGTACTTTTTTAAACATACATTTCATATTTCTTGACAATTATTAAAAATTCCATCATTTAAATTATTAAAATAATAAAATTATAATGGAATCAAAATCATGGTATCTAAAATCAATTGATTATGAGGTACGAAGTAAGAAAAATATTAGGAATTAAAATTTAGACATAATCTACAACCTTTGCCTTACTTATAAATTTGTAGCCAGTAAAAACGCTTTTGTCTTTAAATACTTTTCTCACAATATGCTTCTAACAAAAGAATATTAAGCATGTAGAGTTATCAAAGAATCTATATAGAGACTAATAGTGACATTGCAGCATCTACCTCTTGATATTTGAATTTGGTCATGAAATACACTTTAAACATCAATTCCATTAATTGGTGATGTAAATAACTTTCCACTCAAATCTAAACGTTGGAGGCACTTGAAACCTGGTCGTTTACTTTGAATTTGGAGGCTCAATCACTCATGAAGCTCTAAAAATAATTTACACTTTAGTTTGAGTACAGTAGTTGACTCAATGATAAAGAGCATATGTTGGATAACGACTGTATATATAAATATTGAAACTATGATGAAAAGCTTGTTTTTCATGTCGTTCTTGAATCATGAACTTGCAACCAGTGCTTGTGTAGAGACATTGTGACTTTGCAATCATACACGTGGTGTGGAGACATTGTGCAATAGTGAATCTCCAGTGTTTTGGTTTTTGTCTCTTTTTGTTTATCTTGTGAGCTATTTTATATAATAGATTTTTAAAATCCTGATTTTAAACTTAATCATATTCTTTTATTACCAAACTTTTTGGAATAGAAAGATTGAATTTATGGATGGTACTAATGTTATTAATAAACTGGCACACACAGTTGCATAGCATTTAATTACATGGCAGTACTTCAATTGTAGACATATTTTACTTTATGTTTAAAATAGCTGCAGAACTCAGGAGCAATATCAATAAATCACAAATTTAGGTGATTTTTGAAAGACTAGAAATCAACAATTAAAAGGCTCTTGAATCGGGTCATTAAATAAAAGTTAAATAATACACATTGGAAAGAGCAGTAAAAGTCTTTGTACAAGTTTAAAGGTTTCATGTTTTGAGTGAATTATTTTGTGCAAGATCTCAAGAAAAGGAAGAAGAAGCAGAAGATAATCAATTTCAGAAAGGGATAATATTGTTGACATACAAGACGTGGGTGGTGAATCAAAAACGTTTTATAAATTTCAGGACACTTCAATGGGACCAAACAGGAGGAGACAAGGAATGGAACTGCGCTCATCCAATCCAAGCAGCCCGATTCCAGACGAAAGATCCCCATTCCAAATGACGGAGCCCGATTCCAGATGAAAGAGCCTGGTTCCACATGAGGGGGCCTGATTACTCATGGAAGGAGCTCGATTCCACATAGAACATGCGACTAGGTTCACAAATTGAAATTAGGGCTTCCCAGGAATGGGAACCTCGGGGAGGAGGAGTTGGGCTCTGCGAGGTAGGTACTCCTCCGCCTGCGAGGTCTGTGTGTCTGTCTGAACGTGTCTGAGAGAATTTGCAATGGCTTCCTTCGACGATCGCAAGCGAGAGGTGCTGGAAGGCTTGGCCTCGGATGCGAAGGACAAGTCTCGAGCTGGCGGTGTGGACGCTCCTATTGCATCTCTCATCAACCGCATTAATTTGCATCCTCAGTATTTCACCACCAGCTCCTGCTCTGGCCGCATTTCCATCTTCTCCGAGTCTGCGCCGGATGATGGTGCTAAGAACGTTGAGTGCTATACAGGGAAGAAGACGTCGAAGAAGAAAGGCGGAGACTGGGTTTATGTCAGTCATGACCCTGGTCTGGAGAGCGAGGTGCGGAATTCGGATACATTATAAATTTTCTGGCTTGTGTTGGGGTATACAGTCTTGTTGATCACTCATGGGTGTGTTGGGTTTAGAATTCTGCACTCGAAAGATGTTTGGCTCTGAAATTCGTGCCTGGTTCATTTCTCGAGGGGTATCAGGATTTTTTAATAGAATTTTTGACTTCAATTTTTGACCGCAGCTAACTTGGGTGAGGTCGGACTTTACGGATGTGCAATTCTAATTCAGTTTAGTTTATTTTATTTTTTTATGATTTTTGGGAGTGTGGCTTGATTTTCTGGAATTTTCAGGTTTTGAAGTGTGTTCAAGAATACATTACCACTATGGAGGATGGGCTTCTGGTATTTCGATACGAGCCCTTTATTCTCGCGGTGGAGTGTCGTACTCCTGCTGCTGCTCAGACTCTTGTCCAATGTGCTGTGTCTGCCGGCTTTCGAGAATCAGGCAAGTCTTATTACACACACGTTTGTACTTTTCTGTTTACATTTATATTAAAAGCGTTTGATTGCACTGGTCTATAAATCAAGTATCCCATCCTAATGCCTCTTGTGCAAGATCCCTTGGTGAGGTTCAAAACTGCCATATTAATTATACTGGCAGGCTTAGTCATGGCCAATGTATTGTGGAGGTCGTTGAAATGTGCTCAACTTCTGACTAGGTTCGGAGGCTAAAATGTATTGGTGGACAAGTCCAGATTCATCTTACCTCTTTGAAGGTTTAAAGTATGCTCGAGGGAGAAATTTTGATTGGATAGTTTTTTTTTGTGGGGATCAGGAATATCGGGTATGGGAAAGCGCAACATTGTAGGTGTGCGATGCTCAATTCGTTTGGAAGTACCAATTGTTCTAGCTGGAAACATGCTCGTTACGGAAGATTATTTGCGATTTTTAACAGCATTGGCAAATAGAAAGATGGAGCTGAACCGTCAACGCACTGATACGTTCTCGGTTAAGTTCATGGATCAGGTTAGCTGCGCATTTTCTCAACCCTTCCTCAAATTGTAAGTTCAACTGTCATCATGAGTTAGCTTCATGATGCTTCTGTCTGATGTAGGCCTGAGAATCGTGTCTCATCCTGCATCTTGAAGTAGTGCCTTATTTTCGTTTTAGATAGTTGGACACTGAACGCTTGGATAACTTTCATGCTAAGTTTGATGATCCTCTTTCTTCACAAACTTGTTTCCAGATTGCAAGTCCTGAATTGCAGAAGCTATCAGAGTTCAAGTGCGCTATGTCAAGACAAGAACCTAGCAGTGAGCTTCCACCTTCTGAATTGTCATTATACAATGAATCTGAAGAAGTGAGTTATGCCAGTGGAAATCAGGATCAAGCTGAGAAGAATTTCGCTATAGATAAAGAGAGTAAGAAGAAGCTTTCTGCACTAAAGGGCAGACAATTGAGATTACTTGCTAGGTTGAATACTTTTGAAGATCAGCGGCTTCTTAGCACTGGGGCAATCAGTGCGGGGAAAACAGAACAAAACGCACGAAGTTCTCGAAAAGATGGAAGTGTCTGTAGCAGTGTGCATGCTGTCAAGGACCTCACCACGCAAGCAAAGACAACTAGCTCGGTTTATGGTGCTAATAGCAAGTCCGACTCTGCGTCACTACAGAGTGATAATGGTTCTCGGGATACGGAGGCGAGACTGTCGGCAAGCAACGGTACACTTGTCATTCTTGCTAATCGTTTGTCCCGTGGAGGAAAGTAAGCACCTCCATGTGTTTAGCACATCTCCTAACAGACTTTATTTAAGGTGGTGTTGTACTGTCAGAGCCACTATTAGGTCCCACTCATCAGTTCATACTGTAAATTTGGAGGCGCAGTTGTTGTTAGTGTTAAATGTGGCCTTTCTGAAGAAAAATGATGGGTATACTTACAGGACGGAGAAAATCTGATGGGTGCAGTTTATCAGCTGCTCATCTAGAGGTGCGTGGCGAGCCAATTGAACGGCTACATTGCTGGAGCCACTCAGCTGTACAAATAGAAATTAATGGACATCATTCTCTTCTCCTCTACGGCGGTTTTGGAGGCCCGGATCGCCATGCACGTCTAGGGAACTCGATGGTCCTGGATTGTGTGACAGGCGAATTAAAATGTTACGAGACTTCCCATGCACCACAACCAAGGATGTCTCATGTTGCAGTTGTAGTGAGTCAATCTATGGTGGTAATTGGCGGCAGACATGATCCTAGTACTTGTCTGGGCGACGTTTGCGTCTTAGACTTGAAGACAAGTTCGTGGCATTTTCCTGAAGTGACTGGATCTCATTTCCTTCCAAGGTAAGCTTATTTCTAATTTAATTCTTGTACTGGTTGTTTTTAATGTATAATCCGATTTACTGGAGTATATGTATGGTGTCTGTATGTGTTAACATGTGGATTGCTTTGGCAGGCATAGGCATGCGGCAGCAAGGGTGGGTGATAATATTTATGTATTTGGGGGCATGAATCAGGACAGCGTTTTGGGTGATTTTTATGTGCTTAATACGTCATCATGGAAATGGAATTGTGTGAACTCTAGAGGTGACACACCAGCTCCTCGATATTCACATTCATTAGCTGCTATTGGTCAGAAGCTATACCTCTTTGGGGGTAGGGATGCAAAAATATCATATGGAGATCTTCATGTCTTTTGCTTGGAAACAAATACCTGGACTGAACAAAAAGGCTTGGGGGAGCTCTCTATACCTCGATTCTCACATTCCATGACTGCGATTGACAAGTGGTTAGTCATATTAGGAGGGTGCCCTATCACACATCATGGAACTGATCTCCTATTTTTTAACGTTGATGAAATGATCAGCCAACGTGTTCCTTTGACGCAGGCGTCACTGGACGTGCTGTTAGTGAGACACACTGCTACTCTTTTAGGCACCAGGTTGGTGGTCGTTGGTGGAGGTGCAGCTTGTTTTGCTTTTGGGGCAAAGTTCAATGTTCCTTTTTTAGTAGACTTAGTACCTTACTTGAATAGAAATACTAGCGCGATCCTGACAGATGGTGTAGCTGGATTCTATTCTACACGGGAGGAATCATCTATCGATAGGGATTCGTCTATGAAAGGCGGGCCCAGTGATGAATTCGAGAAGCGGGCGTGGATTCTGAAGTTAGATAGAAATAATGCAAAGACTGGGAAGGATGCTTTAAAGCAACTGGAGTGGTTGGATCAGACAAGAAAACCAAAAGTGTTGGATGGAGGGTTGCATGTTGCATTTCCAATTACAGAGGACGCAGCTCTGTACCTTCAGGAACCGGGTTCCAAAGGTACATCACTGCCTACACGTAAGGGCTTGAATATGGAGTCTTCTCAGAAAGTAATATCAAACTTGATTGCAAGTGGAGGTGAAGTTGTCGAGATGCAACTGGCTCTTGACACACGCCGTCCTATCTCTCCATCTGTCACGCTGGAGGCTGGTGTTGTCAAACTATTACAAGAGGCAGGACTGCCTCAAGATCTTATTGAAGAATTACCGAAGAAGTATGTATCTTGCCCCCAAGATGACCTTGTTATTTCATGGCGATGTTTTAGCAACTCTGCAACACAATAAAGGGTCCATAACTGCGCCGGATTTATTTGTATACTTTGTGTCGTAGGATGGAACTATAGCTTGGGTATTTACAGAGCATATCATATAGTTTTGATAGATGTTGGTAGGTCATAATAGTTTCTGGCTTGTTCATGGATTATTTTAGGGCATGATGACATGTAGGTGGGAACGACTGGGGGACATGGCCATTCTACCTGCAGGGTCACTTACGAGTAGTCACTGGAGGTCAATTGGACCTGGACTCTGGAGTTTTATTGCATCTTCACTCGGATCGAGGCGCATCGCTCGCCAGGCAAGTACATCAAAGCTTGTTCGCAGACAACAGTTTCTAAAAGCTTGTCTCGGTTTCGTGTTGAAGGAGTCTAGGTCACTTGTTGTGAAGGCTGATGAAAGCCTTGTAACCAGTTACGTATATGGTTTAGAACCCTCTGCAATTTGTTACGACCAATGAAGAGCTTGTGCTTTGATTAAAATTTTAATATGTAATACGAAAGTTCACAGGCTTGTTACGTAGGCTGACAAGACGTATTGATTTTTTTAATCAGGCACCAGTGGCTGCAACTAAGACCCGAGACAGCAAGTTACAGGTTCTGTATGGAGAGGATGGTTGGGTTGAGCATCGTGAAAATGGCATACTTTACTGCTTTGATGCAACCAAATGCATGTTTTCATCTGGGAATGTCTCTGAAAAGCTTCGGATGGCGTCCATGAAATGTGCTGGCGAAACTGTTGTTGATCTTTTTGCTGGCATTGGATACTACACCTTGCCTTTTCTCCTCAAGTATGTCACTACCCCGCAAAGCTATGCTTACTCAATTGCACTTTGGTTTTACTCTGTGCCTATATGAATAGTTTGATTTTGGAGAGTAGGTTCTCATGTACTTCTAAATAGAAAATCTGCAAATGCATATCTACAAAGCTTGAACTATTTCATCTTGCTTAATTGTAATGCCAAGTTTTCATTCTTTGAGTTCATGCTGCGATTTAGAATTCTGCTGTAGTTTATTTTGGTTCAATTTGAATTGGCCTTTACTCATGCATTTGTTTCACTATTATTTTGCAGGGGTGGAGCTAAATTGGTTTACACATGTGAATGGAACCCCAATGCAATCTTAGCGCTTCGCCACAATTTACTGGTCAATGGAGTAGAAAGTCGTTGTGTTGTCCTTGAAGGAGACAATCGAGTAACAGCACCTAAGGTTCATTATTGTTTGTGCTTCGGTTAAACTATGTGCAGCTTTACACGAAGGATAATTCGAAATTCATATTTTCTAAGGATTTGAGAGATATTATATTCAAATGCTTTCAATTTGCCTGACGTGGAATCATGGGGGACGGGCACAGGGTGTGGCTCACAGAGTGTGCTTGGGTCTCCTGCCATCTAGTGAAGGCAGTTGGGGTGTGGCAATCGAGGCTCTTAGGTTGGTTTTTTTGGTTTCCTCTCAGCTGTTCAAAAAAAGAATGGAATGAGCATGTATTTTGAGGATTTACCACCTTACGTATTTTAGTAATATAACATGTATTATTCCTGATTCATTGTATTAGGGTGTAAAATGAAATTGCTAAACATTCAAATGAAGTATCTGAATCATACTAAAATTTCAGTAACTTTCGTTGGTAATAAGGTTTTCAGTTAGTAATGTCATGTAATGTGTTTGTATATATATATTCCTGGTAGTCTAAGATTCCAACTACTGATTTGTCAGTTCTTCTTTCAGGCCAGAGGGTGGCATACTTCATGTGCATGAAAACGTGAAAGACTCAAATGAGAAAGAGTGGCTTGATTATCTTGTCTCCGCCCTTGTTAAATTATCATCTGGTCTTGGTAATGGTCTCCTTCTCCTGTACATCGTCTCTTGAAGTGAAAGCTGAGCACACCATTACTAGGACTCGTAGACTGTGAAATGCAGTTGTTCGCAAAAAAATTATGATAGATCTTTGTTCTCACGTTGATTGTATGTGATTAATGCAGGTAGAGATTGGGATATAAAAGTGTTTCATCTTGAACGCGTCAAGTGGTATGCTCCTCACATAAGGCATATAGTCGCTGATGTTCACCTCTCTCAAAGGTGATGGATTATAGATGATGGCATAATTTTACAACCATTTCTTGATTATTGTTAACTTATGGCATGAATGATAGTTATGCTCCTGGACTATCTGAGGCATTTTACATGAATATGGAAGATGCGATTGGTGCTGGTATATTCATGCAATAATGATCTACATTAAGTCCTGTTTGATGTGCATATTTCTCTCCACAATAGCATTATAAAGTTGAATTTTTAAATTTTTAAATCAAAATTTACAATTTATCCACTAAAAAACTTATACTCATTCCATTGTAAAGGCTGTTGTACATGAAATGCCATGGATATAGATACATCAATCCTTTACCATATTATTGAGGGAACTGTCAAACCTCTGTTTAAACTGTTAAACATCTTCACAATACCCCACCTTTAGTTAGCTAAGCCCAAGAGAAAAGACCAATAACTTCAACCATAAGTATTCTACATCTTTCGTTGAAAAAGACTTGGCACTCAAAACAATTATGCAATTAAATTGTGATGATGTGCCAATGTTAGTCTACTTTTGCTGTTGCTACAACCAACTGTGTAAAGTTTGGTTAAAGTAGTTGAATTTTATAGCTTGTATGATATTGGCATATCACATTACAGTCAAGATAATTAATATTTTCAGTTGAAGTAAAACATTGGCATTATCATAATATTGTGCAATAAGAGTTGTTCAAGTGTAGGATGTAGGTCTAATCTGCTCAATTTTGTTGTGATTTATGTATCATGTGTTCAGATATCTTAATGTAAGGTTCATAATTATAGTGTGGAGGTTGTTGCAAGCCATTTTAACCATCTTTACAAACATCATATGATTGGATGCAGTGCCATTAGATCAACCAGCTAGGCAATATATAAAGATTGTATATATATATATATCTATATCTATATATATTTAATAGTAGTTTTGATAAATTAGATGTTTGCAGATTACTCAATTTTACTCGAATTTTTAGTGCAAAAATTAAAGATATATAAATAGATATATTACTATAATTTATGGTTAAGGCAACTTTTTGATATTCAAATGAAAAAACATATCAAATCTTTTATGATAAAAAAATTATATTTAGTAGTATAGAAGAATCATAAATATTGATATATTAAAATACATTTTATAGTATGTTTAGGTAGCACTGAGGACAAGGAAGTAAATACAATTAAGTAAAAGTAAGTAGAAGTAGGTAGAACATGTTAGGTAGATAATTTCTTGAAAAAACTTTACAAAAGCTTTTTAGTTGTAGATCAGATCTTTAGACTTCTATAGACTTGCCATGCAGCTAGTAAAAATATTTCCTACAATTTTTCTACTTTTAGGAAGCTATGTTGGAATTAATGCACATAACTTGATGTTTGGGCCTTAAGGCTTGTGGTTCTTAGGAAGCTTTGAGAAGGGCTTCTTGATAGTTGGTATACATAGAGAGAAGAATAAGACCATCTCTGATCATGTGAGTAATTTTCTTGTATTCTAGTCTTGGTTCAAGAACATCTAGTTACTTTCTATTCAACAATAGTTATTTCAATTTATTTATTTATTTATGTTTTATCTTATATCTATCTCTTTTTCAATCACTTCCTTTTTTCTATTATATTATATAAGTGTATTGCTTCTAAGATTTATGTTTCTAATATATATATTTATATATCTATATATATATATATATATATATATATGTGAGTGTGTGTGTGTACATATGTATATAAAAATATACATTTATCTATAATCCTTGTAACTTCAATAAAATTGAATAAAATGTTAATTTTAAAACTAAGTATTTTCAAAATAAAATAAAATATAAGCTTAAAAGATGAATTAATTTGCAACATTGGGATTCATATTTTTTACTCTTAGTTTATACATATATATATATAGTCAGTTTTAAAATTTTAAATATTAAATCAAACCTGGATACTAAATAAAAGCAATGTGTATAGAACCAAAGCTTAGATTCTTCAAATCATTAGTAAAAAATTAATGAGTAAAATATATTAAAATTGCAATTCATTTACAAAACAAATCAATTATATAAGTTCAAGAAATCAATTTATTAAATAAAACTCTTTAAAAATATTATTGCATGTTTTAAAAAGATAATAAATTTGATAAAAATAGAATTTTAAAATCACATATTCAAATCATCATAAATATCACAATAATATTCTTAATAAATTTGATTGAAAAGACTATATATTTTATGGACTAAACAAAGTGATTGTGATACATGAGTAATATGCTAAAAACAATTTTAGGTCAATACAAAGTATCATTGTTTATCTAAAAATATATAAGTTTGAATTACAATGAGTTTGCATTACAAAGTAACGTAAGATGTGAGAAAAATTAAAAATAGATATACAAAATCAACCTAAGATTTTTAAAAATAAATAAAGTGCAGCATATCCTCGACAATGAATATTCAAAACTTTATGCAATAGATGTGCAATGATATGAGTATTGTTATTATTAACATAACTTGATAAAAAGGAGTATTTTTTAAATTTTAAAAAGTTCTAAAATAAATTAGAGCAGTTCTTGGAATTTTAATTTAAAACTAAAATTGTAATATATATATATATATATATATATATATATATATATGTGAAATTTATTCTTTAAATTTTTATTTTAGTTATTTAAGAAGAGATATGACAAGAGAATGTTAAAAAAAAAAAATTCAAAATTGTTTTGATTGAAGAGTGGTTCTGGATGCAATAAAAAAAGGATAAAATTTTGATTTTCAAGCATTATATATCTTTATATATATAAATATATATAGTAAGATTTCAATTCTTTAAAACACTTTATGTAAAAATTATTTAAAAAATTAAAATAAATCATACAATTTTGCGTCATAGAATTACATTTTTTATGCATTGCTTGAAATTATGGCAATAATACTTTAGGTAGAGTAGATTTCAAGTTCATGTGGATACTAAATCCCTAAAAAATTGCAAGTGAGAAAACTTGAGTGTGGAAGACAATTGAGATGATATGCCACTTTGACATTAATAATTATAAACTTCATTTAGAAGAATAAGTTTAACAATATATTCAAGTGGTCAAATTATGAAAGAAATAACTCATGCTACCAAATGTAGAAATGTTGCAGTACTGATATATCTTCGTTGGTCAAAAGAAGAAACACATGTTACCGTAACCACTCATAAATATTCCATTTCAAGGTACTTCGGGAAATTTCTCATTATACCAGTAAGATCGATTAAGAAATGGCAATGAAGGAAAGCATCAAAACACAGTTGTCTTGTGCATCACCGATGTGCATTGCCATTTGACAAAGAATGTTGTCTACAGACTAGGGGAGGCAAATGTGGGCTGAACAAATAGTATCTAAATCCCTCCACAATGTACAGGTATCAAAATAGTATCAAAATACTATCAAAATGGCAGCACTTGGCTCACTGGCAAAATATACAACTTGCCCAAGGTACTCAATTTAATACGGTGTTTGGTATCCCACGGGCATGCCAACAGTGTAAGGGTTTTGGTAGGGTGGCATCATTGGGCCAGGACCTGGCATGCAAACGTAGGGATTGTTCAACACTTTCTGGAAAGTCGCCTCGCCCCGCATACCCTCCATCTGGTATCGTTGCCACATGATTTGTTCTTGAGATAAGAGTTGTTGCTTCGTGTCCAGATCTGCCATCTGCACATACGCAGGAGGAGGAACAACAGCAGATGCTGCGAAGGGGTCATCCCCGTTCAGAGGCAATGACATTGCTCCGGGAGGAGCAGGCAAAGCGAGGAAGGCAGAAGAAGGGCGGTTAGGAATAGCCACACTGCTTGCGCTACCCGTTGGAGCTGCAGCGACAGCTTGTTTCTGCAGAACTTCACCCTGGTTGTACATGCTGTCCAAAAGTAGGTTGTCAAAACCACCAGCCAAGGGTCGGTCAGGGGCGGGCTTCGACAGATTGCTTGCAGATTCTACCAAGGCCAGCTCCCAACCAGCTTTTCCAGATTCTGAGGCATTAAATGCTTGAAGGGAACTTTGTTTATCGTCCGAATTGAAGGTTTCCCAGGTACTAGTGGTGGTTGAAGTAGAGAAAAGGGCCAAAGCGAGTTTCTCGCTGTGATCTTCGGTAGATATTGTTGCATTGTCCATGTCTAACAAATCTGTAAAAATAAGTCAAGCTATGACATCAGTAAATTTAAAGTTACCCAATGTGAAGAAGAAACTTCCAAATGTTTTCAACTTCAAAATAAAAGGACAATTTATTTATTAAAAAACTATCGATTTACCTCCGACAGCGGCTATTGGAGCTGGGACAGGGGCTGGTGCAGGGGCTGGCGCTGGCTCTGGTTCTACTACAACCTCGGGAGCGTCTTCTTTCGGAACAGGTTCAGATTCTGGTGAATGCTCAGGAGTTCGAGGCTTGTACTCGAGTTGCAAAGTCGGAGCCTCGGGGCTCTTGCTCCTGGTTCGGGTTGGTGCGTTTGATCGCAAATATTCCTCAAGATTATCCAGTTGCTCCTTCGGAACAGGTGCGACTTCGATGTACTCCGAAGACCGACCAATACCATGATGCTTGCACAAATTGAGAAACTCATGTAGCTCGTCCGCTTGTTTGGCAGAGGTGTAGAAGCTTTCGTAGGCTTTAACCCTGTCCTTCTGGTCCATGTCGAAAAAAGCCTCGAGAAGAACTGCACTGCCGTCACAAATATCCCTATGCAGCTGGAAGCTCTCCTTAATAATAAGGTACAGAGCATGCTGGACCAAGCGGTTTGTCTTTGCAGCACCTGCGGGCCGGCATCCAAGCACCCGGTCCATCAATCTCTGCATGGCAGGAAGATTGACTAGCAACTGCTTGACGTTCATCTCCTTGATTGGCACATTGTCAGAATCTTCTTCCTTGTCATCGGATCTGAAACAAATGTAGGAAGAAAGAAACTTCAGTGAGAAACCCACCCTCCTCCACCAAAACCCACGTGTCAAATTATAAAAGCTTGCATTCTAACGAGGATAGTAGGCAATTTAAAGAATGACACAAAAATAAAATGTCAACTCAATTCGAGAGGAAACCAATGCAGACCTGTCATCTTTCCACGAATCTTTGCGCCCTGACCTATTGCTATACCGTGGCGAAAGTTCCCCGTCGTAATTGCTGTGCCGCCGGTTATCGTTCGTGGTTGCTATGCTATATGCACGAGAATCAGGAGAGCCACCACACCGAGATCGAGCATACCGATCTGGAGAGTTTCGATAGCTCGATTCCACAGGAGATTTGCTATGTGAAGACCTGCCCCTGCTTCCTCTCTCGCCTCTACCTCTACGGTTCTTGTTCTTGCCGGAAACTTTCAATGAGCAATCCAAACGCTCATCGAGAAACAATCCATATGTCCGAACAAAAGAGCTATAATCCCAAGCGTTTGAATGCGTTTCATCCTTAAAGTTTGAGAGGTTTAGAATGCGGCGACCACGTCGGGTGGCATGCATCAGTTCGTTTTCAAAGCTGGGATCACCATCACGGAGGAGACGGTGACAGAGCATGAGACCCTTCAAAGCCACATTCCAGTCGTGTGTCTTAGTCAATCTCCTGCCCACGCTGGTGACGCATGCACTCACGTAGCCGCGGGAGTGAGAGGTGAGGTGCAAAATCTCCTGAACATATTTCTCGTCGAAGTAATCATCGTGGCTGGTTGCCTTCACAAGTGCGACGTCGAGGTCTGCAGCTCTCGCGCCACCTACCTTCGCAAAGCCAATGCTGGTCTGATCCTTCAGACCGCCTATTGCTTTACGAATCTTTTTGGGTGCAATCGCCTACACACACCTCAATTAGTCACCACTTCAGAAGCAGTAAGAAACGAAAGACGCAACTAGACATGAGAATATACCCCAATCTCGAATACAGATCAAGATTTTCACCTTTAACGATGAGTAGGAATTCCAAAAAGTGTGAATGTACTGGACTGGCACAATGCCATTATCACCTAAACGAGAAAACGCTCCATTCCCGCAACTTACTTTCACCAGAGTGCGCGAAAACAGACTGAGAATGTTAGACAAGCAGGACAGGGCTAGGATAGATCGATCATAAAGAACGTAAATCTTGAATGTGAATGGCAAGCACAGATGTGACTTTAGGCAGGGAATTTCAGTTAAGGAAGCAATATCTAACAAGTCAGAATGACGTTGTCCACAGATTTCTAAAAACACGTTAAAGTAAGTTCACACATCCCGTGTCTCTACAGATATATCCTCTCACTGGCAACAAATAATTAATAACCATGAAACGAATTGATCCAACCGAATTGAATCACAATGAATGGTTACGATTCTCAACCAGCATTTCAGATCTGCTCCAGAGGTTACGCAAGAAAATGACGCAAAACACTTCTACCAGATAACGTAGACAAACCCCTAAAGCAAGACCATACCACTACATTAGATATTTTCCACCTCGAAGAACCTACAACACACAAGCACTTCGTATTTCACAACCTGGAACTCCAAAACCACAGGTCCTAAAAACAACAACAAAAGACGTTTTCCAATGCACTGAGAAGAAACGCACCATTTGCGCGTTCTCTGAAAGTCACTCTCTGGCACCAATCCTCCAGCCCGCACTACTTTCGTCCCCTTGTCAATGCACAGACCACTTCTGCCAACCTCATAGATTGGCTACGTCTTTCAAACCAGCCATGCGCCTTTAGTCAAACCAGATCTACCCGAACCAAAGCACAACAACGAACTCTCACTCTCTGATTCAAATCCTCTTCCACCAGCGATAGCGCATTAGATCTACCACTCGCACACCGTGCCGTGTCCGCTCTTGTCGCGCGCTGCACCACAACGTTAACTACTCGTCGCCATCCTCCAGATCTCTCTCGCTCTCGCACTCTCTTTCTCTCGCTCTGTCGCTGTTCCTCTCCTAGAACTTGGGCAAGCCAGCCTTGTCACGAGAGGCACTCCGGGTTCTCGCCTCACCTCACCTCCACTCCTCTCCTCCCAGTCTCCTCATGCACGCCGAGCCGTCGTCCTGCCTGGCGAGGTCTGTCCGAAGCGCTCATCTGCAATCAAATTTACGCAGTGGCAGCAGCAGCAGCAGGGGAAGCGAGAGTGCGGGTGCGTCGAACTGTCGACGACGGAACCCCGACGGAGAAGACGGAAAACAACGTCGCTCGTTCACTGGAGAGCTGAAATGCACCGACGCGCACGGTCTAACGACGCACCATGCACGTCCCTATGACCGAGAGGGATCAATGTCCAATAATTGGTGGCTCGAAACTCTCACTTCCAAGGGCCTATTCACCGACCCCCAAATAATTGCCTCCTGATGGTGTCTCCTCCTTTGGAATTGTTCCTCATAAGTAGTGTATTGAAATGGCAACCTATGCGTTGTTTGTATGACAAAGGTGACTTCTTATTTTTTTTCTTAGTATATAAGTATTTGGTGTATAGTGGTTCTTGTTTATTTATATTATAAATGTTTCAATTTGCTAATTTAATTGATACTTTTGATTGGATTTTAAATAATCTTGAATTCTTTGGTGTATGTGTATGTGTAAATTTGTATATTTCTTTTTATGCCCTTGATCGTAAGGAGTTGTAATGAAATCACCAACTTCACATTGTCTATACTATGCACTGTTGCTAGCACTTTTAGACCAACAATTCATATAATTTTTCTTTCATAAATGATGTTAATAAATGAAGGAAGAATTAGCAAAAATTAAGGCATCAATAAAAAAATAGATGATAGATTCCAAGACCCTTCAAAGGTCTTTCTGTTTTAAGAAACAAGGTTTTAAAATATTAAGTTTTAATGGCAGTAAAATCACAGTAATGACACATTAAAATTTCAATCACTTTCTCTTTCTGTTATTGAGTTTGGTTTTTAGCTGAATACTACACAATTTTCGATATTTATCCAAACTCAAAATTAACCACTTATCAATTTATTCACATTTTGAGCTTTATATTGAAGAATACTAGTTGTTTTACATATCCACACAGCACTTGCTAACACTTGATACTAACCTTTTTTGTAAATAATTATTAATAGCAATTGATTGACAAAAATCCAAGCAGTGAACACAAAAAAAAAAAAAAAAGAAAAAAAAAAAGAAGATCCAAATTGAGAGGCTTTGTAACGTTTCTTGACATATTTCTATACAATCCATCTCTCACATAACAATCCATCCTCCCTTGCTACACACACTGGTTGCTACACACATTGATTTAGAACTTTTTTAATCTCACTGTGTCTCTTTTGATAAAGATTTTGGAATATTATAAATCACCATTTGTGTCAGAAGTGATTGTTAGCCAATCATTTTATGAGGCACTGTTCAATCCACTCCCATCAACATTCACACAACACATATACTTCATACCTCAAGTAGTTTTTTTCTTCACAACTTTCTGAATATACTAACAAGCTCAAGACAATCATGTCTCCTAGTTATCAATCTATAATGGGTACCACAGTCAGGATAAATGAAAAGAAACGAGAAGAATAAGGAAAACTTAATGCCCACAACATCTATCCACCCACAATGTTTGCAGTTACATTACACACAAGAAAAGACCCCTGTTTTGAAACAAACAAACATGGGTACTGAGTAGAAACCACAATGGAGGGCTCCTCGCTGTGCAAGCAGCCGTAGTGAAGCTAGCTGCACAGCTGAAGGAGATGGGGGCATGTGGTAGAACCAAGTCTGTTGCTGATGTTGAGCTACAGCCATGGCAGGAAGAGGCTGCTGGAACAAGATGGCACACACTCACACACACACTTCATGCTTGCACCCACATTTTGTTTCTGTTGCAGTTACTTTTGTAAGCACAGACACTCATGCTGTCTTTGGTTGTGTGCAGTCTTGGAGCTTTAAGCTATGGGTGAGCCTTGCAGGTCAGAAGCCCATCTCTTGTACTTCTTGAGCTTCTTTTCTGGGGTGGGTCTTCTCGGGTGCACCATAATTCTAGTCTCACTATGTAGTCATTGCAGTTAATGTGTCATTGTACTGATCTGTTTCGCGGTTTCGGGTTTGGTGGGATGAGGATTGGGAATGCGTGGTGCGATGCTGCCCTCTGCCATGTTGCACAGCAGAGCTTCACTTGGTGTGAAGCTCAAGCACTTGGTGTTTGAAACTGGTGTTGAGTCTTCGTGCACTTGTGAGTATTTTTTTCTTCTCTTTAATTGATGTACTGAAGAAGTGATTTCTATACTTCCATTCAGAGTTACTGCAGATTCTTGCAGTGTTAAGGAGCTTGTGAGGTTTGGGGATTTATTGCCGGAGTTTGCTTCTGAGCATTGTGGGATTGTGAGCAATGGCGGCTGCTGTTCAGTTGTTTGTCGTTTGTTTACCTGCTTTTCCTTGCTCTCGTTTCTTTTATTACAAACCGGCCGTTGCTCACCGTGCATCGTGAGGGGTTGCATTTCGCATACCTGTGCCACAGTTCGTAATTAGCACCTTGCTTTTTCTGACCATCGAATTCTCAATCGAGATGATGTTTCCAGGAATTATATTTTTCGAGCTGCCTTTTTCTGAAGCAAGAATCTGTTGCGAATCTTTGGTGGGAGTGGCAGAGGGTACTACTGTATTTGATTGGATAATGGCGGAGGGGCCCGCGATGAAGATTTTACTCACGTCATTTGTAAAAGAGGTTGAAACAGCACTGCCCCTCAGGAGTTCCTTCTTCGTTGGAACCACTAGGTGATGCCAGTTACTAATTGTATGAACATGGAGTGACAACTGATTCAGTGCCAGCGATGTGGAAAATCATGTGAACGATTTCCATAAAACTGGTTCTAACAGGCATTTACATATGAAAACTTAATGTGGTTGATGAAATTGAAATCATCAATTAAAGGCCATCTACATTTGAAGCTGGAGCGGCCGATTTGAATGCCATTGATGCGCTGAATACAACTCACGTTCAAGAACCGTTGAGAGTAAGCTTGCCGTTTCTCACGTGAAACTGTTGGTCATGTGGGGAAAATCAGGTCAATATGCACTACTTTGGTTCCTTGGTTGGGTAGATGTTCCCGTATATACTCTTTGAGATAGCCACCTTTGTTAAGCAATTGATCGTTTTGTGAGTCTATTGCAGGCAGATGTCTGTACGCTACTGGGAAAAATGCACAAAGCTGGTTCGTCAGTGAAGCGCTCAGGGTTTAATGGGGACAATACTATCAACATACATTGGTTTCATTCTCCAAAGCCATGTAAATTGGATGTCAAAAAGAATGTTTCAACATAAGAGATGGGCTGAATATTTCGCTGCCGTGTGTAGATGGAGATAGAAGGCTTTGCCTCAGCCCCCAAGGACGCTGTGGAGTGGATCGCCAAACGATGGAACGATGCTGTAAATTTCAGTTCGATTTCAAATTTGTTTTTATGTCTATGTTAATTGCTCAACAGTAGATTCGGCACTCCTCCACAGGCATACTTTTCATGTTTTGAAATTAAGGTCAAGTCTGAATCAAGATAGAATCTTCTTCAGTTTGTACGATGCTTGAAAGATGCAGATACTTCTTATCTTTTACTTATTTAATTATCTATTTTCTAGGTTTTGAAGTCCTAGTGATAAAGCAAGATCAAAGCTGCTAGTTCCAGATGTTGCTAGTGGAGCATGGAAGCAAATCACGTTCAAAAGATTTTAATAATTTCATGTCAGGTTGCTAAGTGGGCACTTAGAATGCAAACCGTGAAAGTTAAAAAATGGTGGTAACAAGACTACACCTCAGCATAAGGAAGAACCTATGCTAAAGCTGATCGGACGTTGGAGAAATGGGATAAAATCATGAAGGCGCAACAGTGAATGGACAGACATGACACCTAGATACTACCTTTTGCATTATATGGATTTGGAGACGAATTTTTGGAGGGCCTCACCTTTTTAAACTCTGAATATGGCTCAATGTCACGAAGAGTTTCAAGGTGCTACGGTTGGAGTGTTCTATTCACAACATCTACTTATGTACGAAATATTCTTCCGTTCAGGTAAGAACAGTAAACATTACATTGGGTTAAGATATGCTTTGGAAGCTCGTGGATTTTGAGAAGTTTTTGAGAAGTTTATTCTCGATTCAAGCGGGATTTTTCCTGACAAGCAGGGATTTATCCTGAAGTAGTGTGGAATGTACTCACAGATTCTGGGAACAAAGAAGCCTATGATAATCCTTTGGCAAATGGTTTCTATTTACACGGCATGAGTTGATTAACAGGTAACTGCTGGACGCGTTAAAATTATTAGCTACCATATGTTTGCGGGACAGTTTTAACTCCAGTAGATGATGCTTAATTATTCAGCTCTATAATATCATGGAGTGCCGACTTGCAAATTGCTATGGGATGATGGGCACAGGCAACTTGTGGAAGTAGATCTTGTAGCAATATTTTGTGCTTTTTCTGAAATAAGATATGTGCTTGTTTGGTTGACCAGGACCAAGTAATGCAATTGGTAAGGTTTGAAGCCCTGAGCCCTAAGATAATGCCGGTTTAATTGTGCCTATTGCTCTACTATTTACTCCTGAGTGCTTGAATATGGTATATTCTAGTTTACATGTGTGATCATGTGTACATAAAAAAATCAATAAATTTAAGGTGAGGGATTTTAGCAAAAATTAACCAAAAATTTGTATAAAACTGAATCTGTTATTCAATTTAAGATTTTATTTAATAACCGAAATTTTCAAATCGAAATATGGCACAATGTATCCATAAATGGAAGTAAAGCAAAGTTAGACACATATAAAGTTATCAAGTAATTTACTCAGTAACTTTTATTAGATATCTTTCTCCAGTTACTTAAATTTTAGTCTAACAGCATAAGTTGAGAAATAAAAATAAAAATAAAATTCAATGGTGATCATCACTGCACCAAATTTCAACACAAACATTCATTTTTTCAAATTTGTAAAGCAGAGTTTTTTCTTATCATATTCCAAGGATAGTATAAGATCATTCCAAAAAGATTTTGGCTGGCCATCACGTTGACCTATCCCATTCTGCCAAAAAGTACTAAACAATTTTTATAGACACCAAAATCTCGATCTCGAGACGGATTCTAAGAAGATTGGAACATTGGAGTTACTGCATTTGGTGCAACATCAAAAAGACAATTAAAAGGCATGACCAACTTCCACCTCCATACACTTTCCTATCACCATTCACTCATGTTGGTAATTAAAAACCCAGAAGAACATACTTCGGTGCAGGGAGACAAGAGGGTATTACAGATCAATATATAACATATCTCAGAATATATCACCGCTGGTCCATTTTGTACAAAATTTGAAAGGTTGAGAGTGCAAAAGATCTGGTGTGTGAGTTGCAGTGCGTGTTAAGCTTTTTTTTTTTTGTTGTTGTTTTCTAAGTACTGAATATGACCTACTTCTGTGATCAAATACCGGAAACCTTCTATACTGTTACTGCGTTTAGTCTACAAGCCGGAAGTGCAATACGTGGTCGGCCACGACGAGGAACACATGAATGTGGATGCAGGCCAGCGCACCGAAATTGCAATTTACCGAATGTAAGCTCAAGAGATGGAAGCAGGAGGATGTCCCTCTTGAACAGTGTGCTCATACAGCTTGATGTACTGATCAATTGGAGCCGCGTCCCAGCTCATATCTATGCGCATCACCTTGCTCACAAGAGCTTTCCACCAATCTGGGTGTTCCTTATAGTACAGCAAAGCACGGTCCAAAGCACTTGCCAATGCCTTCAAGGTGGATCCATTTCAAAATGTCAGTAAGGATCGGAGCATGAGTTTTTAAAACCAGCAGTTCGTTGAATAATGCCGCATGCAATGCAGTCAAGATCTATGCAACTTTCGTGAACGAGGGGAAGAATCACTAACCTCTTCAGTTGGTTCGGAGAACGTGAAACCGTTGCGCTTCTCCACAACGGCGTGTTTTTGGTCCACATCGAATACGCTGTTGTCAAGTCCCGGAGCACGTAAATCAATGAATACGACACAAGAAGCTGTAGCTGCCGCATGTTCCAGTTGGACTACGCGGCACATGAAAGAAGAAAAAACAAGTAGATGCTCGCACACACAAGAGAAATTGGGGTGTTACTACAAACCTGTCAGCTAACCCCCCGGTCTTGCGAACAACAGGAATGGTCCCGTACCTCATGGAGTACATCTGGATGCAATTTATTAAGAGGAAAAAATCAGTACATAATGTGAGGAATATCTTCATGATGATAGGAATTTATCAAGGGAACAGAAGAAACAGTGGAATCAACCTGAGTCCCAGCTATTTCATTGGAGAGGTAACGCAGAGAGGGGACACCCTTCTGCTTAGAAATAGAGTCGACAGCAACAAGCAGAGGACTGCCCTAAGGTTCTTCAAGCGGCTGAGATATTGAAACTGACCTGTGTAAGCCCACAAGGCTCGAAGATGGATGGTATCACAAAGATATCGGCCGCACCGTAAATGTTGTGTGTGAGAGTCTCCTCATATCTCAGAACAAGGCGGACGTGAGGGTGATTCTCAAATTGCTGTGCAAGTTCATCGAAATCTTTCTGCAAGTCATAACAATACACGACTTCAGCTAGTAGACAAAATCATCCTTCGACCACCCTCGCACACACATATCCGTAGCTATATAGAACAACAACCTTGATGCACAATCTTGGAAGATAAACACTCTGCCCATAAAAGTAATACTTGTCATACCTTGATCACGGGATCCTGGCTGGTGCCTTGCAGAATGAATTGACCACCACGGTTGAGGGTGTGGAAGATGGCCGAACGAAGAAGGTGGACACCCTTCTGGGGCACCAATCTTGATACACAGCATACCTGTGAGAAATCAGACCAAGATGTTAGCTTACAATAGCTCCTCTTGATATTCAAAGACTAGTAGATCTATACGAGTCGCTCGCCAGGAACACCTGAAACCCACATATCCAAATCTCCGTAATAAAACATATTAGAAAAAAACAGAATGACAAGAAATCGAAAAGGCAGGCCCTCAGAGGCGAGATGAGCATACAAGGGGCCTTTTCGCATCAATGCCTAGGTTTGCCAGCCCCAGACGAAGCCGGAGTTTATTCTTCAGTACTTCCTTGCCCTTCAAGTCGTCCATGCTGAAATGCTCCTCCAGATGGGGATCGGTCGCGGGATTCCAAACCGTATCATCGATACCGTTCACAACGCCATAGAACTTCTTTGTCATAGCCCTTAAGGTGGTATGCAAGCCTTCACCTCCCTAAATATTTCAAAAGAAAGACAAGATTCGCACCAGTTCATATCCGAGTCACAGAAAAAAAGGAAACAAACAAACCAACTATTTATACATTCTCTTCCGCTTGGGCATACATATGGCGATGCTGCTCACCTCTGGGGTAAGGACTTCTTTAGCATATGTCGGTGACACTGTAGTGACGAAGTCCGAATGCACAAGCCCGCCCTGCACCGTCAACATTTCCAATACTCAGATGCATGTTCTCACTCGTAGGCTGTCCTGGCACCGCTCTACAAAATCCTGTAAGAGCAAATCTGCACACCTTACTATGAGTAATCTCACCTTTAGGACGTTGATTCTGTCAGCCGAAATGTTGTCCTGGAAATGATCCGTGTGCAAAGGCGCTTGGAACTGAAGGCCACAGGACGTCAGCGCCTCCATGGACTCCTTACCTTGTGGCTCAAAGTTGTGGCAAGTGAAAGCAAGCTTGGAGGTAAGACCCGCACTGGAGTAAATGCTCTTGCACAATGGTGCCTGTATGAAAAGAAGAGTCTAAGACCCAGAAGTGTATGAAAGATCACAAGCTAAATTATCAACTTAGAGTGCACACCACACCTAGTCCATGGATTATAGAATCTTATGACTGTAGAGGTTACATACCACAACGGCCACCGGCCAGTCATGACAGTGGATGAGATGGGGGCGCTTCCCGAACTGCAACAAAAATTCGAGCGATGCTCGAGAGAAGTATGTGAAGCGCTTGAAGTCGTCCGGCTCACAGTAGATTCCACCGCGGTTGAAGAATTCCGCCGGGTGAAGTGGGTCGATGAAGAACACCCTCAGGCCTTCCACAACACCCGTCCACACCATGTTCTCGTGCTCCGCTCCCTCAAAGTATGAGTAAAAATGCTTGTTCAATTTCTGTGCAAGGTTCAATTCAGAGTTCTACTCAAACATCATTCGTGGAGAGGTTTGAGGAAATCTTCAACTCTGACGCGTAGACGTCGCACTCGATTAGATTATAGAAAGAAAATTTTCATATCTCCCAGGAGAACATGAAGGAACTGCGAACCTTGAAATTTTTGATGCCAGACATGTCCAGGGTCTTGTACTTAGGAATAATAATCTCCACCCGGTGGTGCTTCTTCTGAAGAGCACGACCAAGTCCAGTCACCACGTCTCCCAAACCTCCCACCTGACACATTTAAACATCCTCTCATGAGATGGTTTCCATTGTGTTGTATTACATAGATACTCTACTTGATGACTCGTGGTGCTATTATCTAACAACTTCGCAGATCTTGGTCTGCATGGTGCAACATCTGTCAGTAAAATATGAGGAGCGTAGTAGACAATGCAGAGCTTTTCTATACCTTCGCTACAGGGGCCATTTCGGATGCGAGATGCACAATATGGTATCGAGGCCTGCAATTGTCAGAAAAGAGTATTTGAGCAAAACCAGCTGAGAGTGGTATGACACAGCGGCTGGCCACATGTGTGATCTCCACTGAGGTGGATGCATTCACTAGGGAAATTAAGCACTCCATCCATGAACTTACGTGCATTCCAGCCACTGAAGGAGGTTCTCACTACAACGAGAGTAACAATTCAGTGTAACAGAAGAATAAGGACCAGTAACCAAAATTAGTTCTGGAATCACAGAGAGGAAGAAAAAGTGGACCACCTTTTCACGGTTGGCGGACACTCAAGAGAGCCAACAAGGGCAGCCACCAGATTCTTCACCTGTGTCTGGGGAATTGCAGCTCCGCAGCTGGCAGGAGTAATGCGTCTGGAAGGGACATTCACGCCATTACCGAAGGATGAGAGCAACTCGTTGTTACCCATGAGTAGCTGCAACAGAACACACTTCGTATTAAATTCCAGAATACAGTGTGCGAACTAAAAACATGTGAATATTCCAGTTCGACAACAACACAAAGATAAACCTAGTAGATAAAAGACAGAAGAAGAAATAGTAGTAGTAGTAGTAGTAGAAGAAGTAGAAGAAGAAGCTCTCCTTCCTGTGATTACAAAGTTGTGTCAGTATTTTACCTGATGACCGCTTGCGAGGGTCTCCTGAGACCGCTGGGGCAAGGCCATTTCGAGTTGTTTTGCAGAAGCAACCTCTGTCACACAAAGTTATCACACATGCACCCGACATGAGACCCAATTTTCTTTGACACAAGTCCAAATTTCTTATGAATCCCTCGTTTGTCACCGCTGGAGTAGGAAGTCTACGAAACTGATAGCGCATGGCACACAGGTTCTAACTGGAAATCACTCACGAAACATGGAGCTCCCAAACCAGTCATGCAACGAGATGGCGAGTGCAGCAAGCCAATTCTGATAAAATACTAAAAGCGGGATACCAGACAAAAAGTCGGCACATGCATTGATATGAAAAATGGTGACTTTCAAGCTGCAGGGCAGGGACATGGGTACTCACGGACAGGTGACTCCTCAGCGCCAGAGTTGCGGAAGCGCTTCGTCTCTATTGACATGGTAGGAGTCCCTTTTCTGTCGACTGACGGCGTGCACCACCACACGCAACCACTCGACTTGATGAAGACACCAGCTATCCAAGTTCAAGAGTTGTCTTGGAGTTGGAAACTCAGAGCCGGGTTCACCGACTGGTGAGCCGCGGTTACTCTTGCTCTACGGAACCTTAGATGTGATCGACCGAAAAAATCCTTGGATCAAACAAACTCCTCAGTACTATGGAACTGTATGACCAACTCGATATTTTTGTGATTTGTTTTTTCTTTTCTTTTTTCTATTTCTATTTCTTTCTTTTCTTTTCTTTTTTCCAACGCAAAGCGGACCTACAAAAGAGTACAGTTCGGGACTGTTGGAGACTTTACCTCACAACTGAGCTGCTAAAACTGTCACACAAATATCAGACGAGGTCAATGCACACAACTCTCAAACAGATATGGGTAATTTTATGATACTACGATAGCCGAAGCAGTATCGATTCTAGAACACAAACACTAAACTGGAAGTGAATCTAAACAGAACCAAGTGTCGTCGACTGTGTGCACTTTGTAAGTGACAGGCCATTCGGAACCAAGTGCACTACTGTAAGACAAAGAGACTCCGACGACACTTGTGTAATAACTTACTCACTGCGAAGAGTTGAGCTCAAGTGACGATCCCAGCCTCAGAGGTTCAATTTATAGTCTGGGTTCACGGTGATGCACGCCCCAACTTAAATAATATGTTAGATGTTATAAAATAAGAACGCAACTGCAGGGCCTGAAGGAAGAGTAGACCCGAGCCCAGGGGGTGTCACGGAAGGGGCATTCATGAGACTACCAGAAATACAGTTGCAAGGTTGAAAATGGGTGCTTCCACTTGGCACTGAACATGCGGCAGTCCATTTGGGCGTCCCAAAAAGTAGAAGCAGAAACTAGGCCTCCCAGGGCCTGGTCATGGTTCATGAAAAGAGGAAAGTGGTATGTGAAGTGTAAAATAAAAATCCGGTGCCGGCCCGAATTTGAGCCACAAATTGCTCCTCGCGAGCCTTTACTTCGCAGCTGCGCTAAATCCGTCCTTGATGTTATATGTGGGAACTTGGAAATGGCTTCGTTGCAGCACAGTTTCGGCGGTAGTAACTTTCTGCAGCTCCACGATCCCTGCACTGCAACTTTAAACGTTCACCTTGCATCTTACGCACCAGGCACAAATCTCGACTTCAGACACATCGTCAAGATGATCACGACCTGCCTCCGGAGTCTTCGCGAATGCAACGAATTGTTTGTTCCCTGCATGAAATGGCAGCGTTTTTTGCTGGATGAAAAAAAGGCGGCTCCTGTTTTTCTTCCTTCCATTTTGGGTGCAGGTGGGAGGTGACTCGTTTTTCGATGTGCCCTCTTTCTGGAGCACTTCCTAGCCTGTTTAGCACTTTAGGTAATTGGATTCTGAATGCTTGATGGAGTCTAAACCATGCAAATCTCACAACTGACACCTCTTACTGCTCTTCTTTTTCTTCACAGGTTTTAATTTAAGTGTACCTACATATGACTGTTAATTCTCTTGTACCGGTTTTGCTCAAGCGCTCTTTTGGCAGTGGAGATTTTTAACATTATAAAATCTGGACACATCTTAAGTAATTATACAGTCTCTCTGTGGGAAACTGGGCGAAGTGTCAGCCAAGATTTCTCTCTCTTATCATGAGAATGTTACGAGTTGCATCAGAGTGTGTAGATTTATGTGGTGTTGGAACTGCATTCACCTTCACAATCCGTGTAATTCACCTTCACAATCCGTGTATGTGGTTTCTCCAATGCTGTTTCGTTAAGCGTTTGAAGAAACTACTGCTTTGTAACTCACGGAGTAAGAGTTGATTAACATAAACAAATCAACTCTTAGATTTATTCTCAGCCTGTAGAGAAGTTTGTTCTCCGTAATTCCAACACCGAACTAGCGCAGTTTTCAAGACCCCAGGTAACCCACAACAGCAGAGTATAGAACATATTTGATTCTGGCGATGGAACGTATTAATTAATTGAAGCATATGCGATGGACCGTTGCATGGATTGTGAAGAACTAGGATTATATAATAGATACAGCAACTAGGTCTTTGTCTTTGAAATTACGCGGCAAGATCTAGAATTTGGGGATTGAACGACAACTTGGACTTGTTCCTGAAAGATGATGAGCAAGACACTTGGTGAGAAATATCTTTCATTCCTGACTTCGCGTTGCCTCTTCCCTTCTCATCCGAAAGATATAACCATCTTCTTATCAACTCAAGGATATCAACACATTTCTCGGGAATTTGTTAGCTCCAAAACGTTGCTCCATACTTCACCTCGGGAAGACTTTCAATTTGCAACCTGTTAGGGAATCCATGGGAGCTCGAGTTCAGGCATGTGCTTAGAACTACTTGAATATATCAAACGTGGCTGGTCTGGAAAGTTCGAGTGATGGGTGCAACTGGAAAACCAGGAGCACATACCCATTAGAGACCCAGTTTTGCCGCATAGGAGATTATGAGGGGGAAGAAAATGACAAAACCAGTTGTTAACCATCACATGCAGACCAGGAACGAGAGTGATTAAGGAATGTGGTGCAAAGTGAGCAAGCCGGTCCCATACGAATCATTCCATGCATTGAGAATGTGTATGAGTAGAAATCTGTGAGGTGAGGGTGTTGAGAAACAGACCCCTCCTTGATTAGATGATGAGTGGAATCCCGGCTTCGGTTTGAGGGGCAGTGGAATATATGAAGGGAGACAATTCTTCCTTCAAATGGTTCTGGCCGGCTGCCGAAATTCAAAAAGAAATTTGCTGTGGCCTGTGTGAGTTGATACCATCCATTGATTTGTAAAAGGCCCTGGACTGGGCTTCATCACTCCAGCCTCTGAATAAGATGCCCAAAGGATTCTTTCTGAAGATTCCCATCACGGGACTGCATGTTGATGCAAACCGCTGCTTTAGGGTTGCACTATTTTCCACAGACTGGGAGAGCTGCTCAAATCGAAGCCCACGGCTACACTGTGGTCCTGTTGGAAAGCAGCAGATCCAATGCCAGTACAAGTAGTCGCTGTTGTTGACGACCCATACAAGCATAATGATAAAATAACTTGAAGTGTAATTACCTTGGATTCAACTAATTTTGGATAACTACAAAATGGAAAATTACCATTTATTAGTTCAATAGCCGATACCAGACGTAACTTTTACAGACTTCCGATTTAAGAGCCTAAAATCGACTTAATCCACGAGCAGCAAAAGCTGAATAGAGATCAATACTAATCCATGAGATGTGAGAGACAATAACATCTATTCACTAAATATCTTCATGAGGGATGAGCTTGTTCTCCAATACATCGACATTCCACCTTCTACCTATAGTTAGAACAGGAAGTAATAGAAATATATCACATGGGACTTCCGATTGACGTAGTCTTCTCGATTCTCATATTTCCTGAAGATACCTTACAAATTCTGCGCACATGCAAGCTGTAAAGAAATGTTACGGAGTAAGTCAATCTCAGGATAACAGCTGTAAGATAACAGCGTTTGTTACCAACGTATCAACCAGAGAATCGGATCCAATTAGAATTAGACGTAAGCTATCGTGCTTCACTGGGATTAAAATAAGGGCTACATTCGGTGACAATTTTCCAAAAAATAGTTCTTGAACAACTCCAAATTGCGAAAGTTCCTAGGGGAACTTTGAATATGGTGGCATCTGTCATGCAATAATGTTACAATTGGCTAGCATACTGTTGGTTTAGGCTAAGTGTGTTATAGATGAACAACCCACTTCAAGAGATTCTAAAGAATGAGCGTTCTAAATTGATCACACTCAGCGATGCATGCAGATTTTATGGCTTAGACAAGGTTCTTCCTTAAATCGTTGTTAACATAGAGTGATTCTGCCTTTGGTTGACATGGAGTTTCTTCCCGCCGCCTGTGAACAAAGTTGGCTTTAGTTGACGAGGACAACAGTATTACTGAATGCATTCATGCTGAAAAGTAAACCAATCCCTCATTAAAGTCAGTGGATACGAACTGCCATCCTAAGGCACGGTACGCTTTTGATGCACACTCGTGCATGGTAATTCTTATAAAGAGATATTTTACAAGTTTTTTCTGAAGTTCATATGAACCACAGTATTATACAAATCAACCTAGAAACCGTATAAGAGCTTTTCTCATGCAAATCACTACACCTTACCAATATGAGAAAGCGTTTCTACATTTTAGAGAATTCCACCCATGAAATAATGTGCTGGATCTTCTGTATAAATACAGGAAGTATCCATTGAGAATTGTCAAGAGTAGGAAAAGATAGTCTCGACTGCAATGTCTGAAAAAGTCTAGCTGCACCCTTCAATTACAACAATGCTGTTGGTGAAGATGACAGCAACTTCACACAGCTATCACAACGGACGAGAAAAACTAAGAAATAGTGACGGAACATAACCATGGACAACGCTATCTTCTGCATGAACTTGGCCCCAACTACTCAGCAGCATTTGCGGGCATCTCCTCTAACAAAGACATCACTGAGAGCCAGATTCTGGATGCAGAAAAGACTTGGAGAAATAAACCAACTTCTGCACACTGCTGTAAAATCAACGTTCCTCATTTCTCAGAAGTACGCTCACAGCATGTTATGTGAAACGCAATGCATCCCATCTACATGCAACTTCATTTTCTTCAAACCAAAACCCTGAGACTATGAATCTATCTTTACGGTACAAAGCTGCACATGACATTGCACGCCAACGCGTATCATTGTCAGGTTGACATTAGCAGCTAGGATGCCATTGTGGTCTGACCTGCTCTACACGGGCGGGTTAAGATCAACATGTAGTATATTGCATGAAACAAGAGGTGTGTCAGTTATCTGAATCTACAAACTCAGCGTTTTTCCTCCCCTCCCAGAACTATTGTTACAAGAAGTAGCATTAGAAATCACCTCAAACGATGTCATATTCAAAATACCGTCGCATAAGGAATAGAGTAAGAGCATATGAATAGGTAAATTTCATGGTATGGCTGCCGATGCTGTCAGACTGATCACATGGAGCCGCAGGTTTCAAACTTCAGTTAATGACGTTTCTTCAACGTGTTGAGGAAGTGACGTCATCTGCGTAATACCGGGACAATGATAACATCTTATATCACCATGACTGACGCAATTGCAGCTCAGCATCAAACAACTGTGAGGCTTCTCTTACCCTGGACTCTCAACGACAAATAGCGGTCTTCCTGTTTGAGGTCACCAATACTGGCGCTGATTAGTAGTCAGGACCCAACAGCCGATGGTAAGATTTGAAATGGCATGTGTGAGCAAACCATCCAGAAACAACCCCCGGCGCCCAATCATCCACTGGAAGAGGAGCCCGTTGATGAAGTAGCTTTGCCATTCCTTGCCATTGTAGATTCCCTTGATAGCATTTGATATGAGCCACGCCACCCAGCTCCACTCGAAAAATGAAACGTGAACAAAGCTAGCATACTCGTCCTTGTGCAATAATTTCAATATGTACCTGTACATCCAAGAATGGTAAAACAGCTCCTCCTCTACCGGGACGGCAAGAGATGCTCCAACAAGGCGAATGACGTCCCAAATATCACCCAAAAATCCAGAGCCGAAGTCAACAGCTGGTCGCC